TTTTGTGGCTGCCACATCATTTGCCTTCTTTTGAAGTCAAAAAACCTTAATGAGAATCACATGATTCCTGCCCTTTAAAACACACAAAATGTCACTTAGTTACACACACAGCTGCATTGGACCAAACGAGCTACTCACTAAGAACATGTTTCTTGGCATATTTAAAAAAATGAAAAGTGTAGTCAATTGCTGTCAGCAGCACTGATCCTAATTTACTCATATTTGCATTCTAGCACAAAACCACAGGAGTCGCTTTGAATTATTTCCATAAACTAACATAATGGGTAAATCTGTAGAACACATGACACTTTTTAAAAGTCCACCTTAATACAACCAGAACYGCCCTTTCAGCCCAAGACTTTTATCCAAAACTGCACAGATGTGTTACAGGACATATTGCACCGACTGAACTTCAATAATGTTCCCAAAACTAATACAAACTTTTAAAACAGCCCTGAGAAAAACACCACTTCAGATTGGTGGGAAAAAAAGTGCTTTTCTATTTGTATCTAAATTTGATCTACTGAGATTAGAAACTTATTTACTAAAAACCTAGCCTGCTTAGAATACTGGGTTCATCATGAAATACTAACTGGAAAATGCAACTTTTGGTTATATTTTATCCAATTCAAAATGAAATCCTCATAAATTCAGGTGTCTATCGTACCCAGGCAGCTTGTGAAAATCTTCAAGGAYGGGGCCTCCACAAGCCCTCTGGACAACCTACTCAATGCTCAGTCACCCTGACAGTAAAAAAGCACTTCCAAGTGTTCCAGTGGAACAACCTTGCCAACTCACATTGAAGCAGTCACTGGTTCATCAGGATTTTGTCTCATACTTGCTATTGAATATTAGGATACTGTTAGTGCTTCTTCTCTAGTAAATATATACTTTGGGAAAAGAAAAGGTTTAATAGTTTAAGAGTTTCAAGAACATCCATTACTGCCAAAAGGGAGCATACACTTTCCCACTCAGCTTTCCTCTATATAACAATACTACATGCATTCATTTTATCCAATAGGCCATGCCTTGACATTTACTGTTGAGAGAGGTCTTACTCAAATTTTGCTTCATTTGCTATACTATTGCCTTGTTTATATTTTYTATTTGCAATTAAAGAAGGTAAATACTTTGATAGATAGAGAAAGCAAATACTGGCACAAAACCCAGATCCTAAAAGAGTTCTCATTTTCTTTCAACAAAAATAAAGTGAAAGTCAGTTGGGGATTGACAAGTGTGTGCAGAAGGGTTATTTTAATAGTATAAGAATATAAATGCCACTGTCTATATATCTTKGAAATTACCTTCAACAATTCAAATACTAAAATTGTAATTGCAATAATGTTCATATAAAATATACATTTAAAATTCCCATTAAAAGTAACTTAAAAGTGCACAGTTTAAATACAGTTGKGACTAATATTTATAATCGTAAGTTTAGCTCTTTTGCTCAAATTCAATTAAACTCTTTACTCAAAGTTTCTGCAGTTGAAGCTACTGGCTTTTGCTGCTGTTAAAACATCAGCCATTCTTTGTGCTAAGTGACTAACATCATGACTCACTATCACTAGAAGATGAATACAACACTGACTTTTTTTTTTTTTATGCCCATAGATGAGTAACACTAAAAATACTTTGACCAGCTGTAAGACGTAAAGTTGGGTAGAAGCAAAGAAACTTTTTGGCACCATTTTCTTTTGCAGACTGCATTCTGCAATCCACTGTGATCCGTCTAGAACACTGCACAAAATACAACTATTTCATACATGTTAATACACACTTCTTCTGCTGACTTCATCAAAAACACTAATTTCAGTATCCAATCAACAGTGCATAGAAACAAACTGTTAATTTTGGAATAGATCATTTCCTTGAAAATATTTTTGCCAAGTAAGGAGTAGCCCTCATTCTTTATTGCAATAAAGTTTGTGAACCCATTTTTTCAATATACTTTGAAAAATAATTATGTGATCTTTCTTTGCAAAGTAAGAAGACTCCATATTGTCCTTAGCTCTCCATAAAATACACTGCTGAAATTTATTTGGAAACAATGCTATGCTTTCAGGGAAAAAGGCATGGCAAGATTTTTCATGCCTTTGTTTCATAGCTTTGCCAGTCCTCACCATATGCAGGCTGGTAACTGCCAGCTGCATTTCATTAAAMTTATGCCTTTTTTAAGCTTAAATCACAAAAGCAAATGAATTATTTTATGCAAAATAAAACTAATACTTAAAAATAAATAAGTCTCACTGATCTCTGAAAAACAGTCACATTTCATTCTCCAAGAAAGCAATTCTAAAAGATTTACCATACATTTTCGTGTTATTTAATTCAAATAATTAAATTCTTCCTAGTTTATTTTAACCACCACTTTTAATAACAAAGAACAAATCAAAGATCTTTAAACAACATCTGCATAGCATACAAAAAATCAGGAATGCTTTTTGCTGAGCAGACAAATAACTTTTTAAAGTTTACAGATTTGTTTCATGAGGAAAAACAAAAAAATACATCTGCATTATAAGTTAGCCATAAACAAAAGTCATTTTCAAGATGAGCTTTTGAAACGAGCATTTGGCAACACTTCTATCAGAGGGTAAAGATCCTACTTCAGCAAGCAATCATTCCTTTCAAAATCTGGCATTACAGAAAAGCAACTTGAGTACATTGAAGTCAAATTACTTTAGTTACACCCGTGCAACACGCGACTACGTTGGCATGGAAAGATTTTTTTTAAATGCTTTCCCAAAGCATCTCTTTCTTACAGAGAGCTCCTACTAAAGGTTGTGAAGCTCTGGACTCGTGCAGCAGCCTSAGAGCTCTGCCTTGGGACATGCAGCTCTCCCTGCCTCTGCTGCTCTCCAGTGAGAAAGGACTGGAGCCCTGCAGCTCTGGTGCTCATCAGGCACCTCAGCATGAGCTGCTCTACTTCTCCATAACAGCACAGAATGACCCAGCTTCTCTTGGGGGGGGGGTTACAGAGTAATTTGCTCTTTTGGTGAGTCAGAGGAATCCAATAAACACTAACGCTGGCATTAAGCAAGCACATGGTTGGGAGAAAGAAATGAATTGAAAAAAAATAAATAGAAGAGTGATGGGAAGAGGAAAGAAGGAACCCTATCATTTTAGAGTAATGAGCTATTATGTCAGCTCACCACATGCAGTGGGACCTTACCTTGAGYGCATTGTAAGTGCCAATTAAAAGCAGCATTTTCTAGCCTTATTTTTAAATGATGCAAATAGGGAAACACAGTAACATTTTCCCTATTTACATTTTACTCTCTCTTTTTCTTTGAGAGATGCTTACAACAGTAAAAGAGATCAGCAATCTAAGAACACTAGCAAAAATTAAACACGTAATAAGGCTCACAGCAAAAATTAAAATGCCAGACACTATTTTAAATGTTTCTTCTTTCAGATATCAAAACTGACTTTAAAACCACAACACTGCAGTAATAAACACTGCATTCATTATATATACATGTCAGATCAAAGTCTGTTCTAAATCAAATGCATAGAAGCTACAACTATTTTTTACTTAGAAATTGACATCTCTTTCCCAATTTGCATGTACAAAAATGGATATCCTTCGGTTGTGGCGAAACCTCTTTTTATTCAGTCTGTGCTCTGCTGAACAAAAGTTCACTTAGGTATGCCAGGAGGGGGAAAAAAAAAAAAAAAGTAATTCTTAAACAACTGTAAAATTATTTTCTATGGAGACAAACTCAGAAGTCAGTAAGTTACYTTCTTCCACACTAATACAGCAGTACATTAGTATCAGGCCTACAAGGGAGAGATAGGGAAGTCAAACACACCTTTTAATCCAAAATTTTACCTGTAAACTCATCAGGCCAAGGTCAATGAATTTCAAGTATTAAAGTTCAGTATAAAACTGTGGCCACTATTATGCAACTATTACAAACTCTGATTTTAAAGACACAGGAATTTTCAAACTCTTGTACTAGCAGCAATCATGAATGGCTTTTAGAGAACGGCTTCCAGGTTCACCTCTCTTCTCAGAGCTACGGAAATCCAAAGTGTAGCAACCAGTTCAATTCTCAAAGGCTCCTCGACCCTCATGGCCAGGAAACAAGGCCTATCAGAAAGGCTCTAGCCACTCGGTGAGATTAAAAAAAAAGTGAGAGTAGCAAAGAAAAGATGGAAAGGGGAGACGTAGAGGAGATTCAAAACATGAGCTGGGAAAAAGACATAAAACAGATGCTAGACTAAGTAGTAGATACAGGAAGATGACAGAAAGTGTTCTAAAAAACAAACCACTGTATTCACAACTAGTAAGTTTTAAGAGTTCTAATTTTGTTCATACTATTGTTAGCCCCTTTCTACACTACTCATGCCTACAGAAAAGAGTTTTAACAGATGCACACTAATGTACAGCAAATATATTAGTAACATTAGCATTTTGTACAGTAAAACATAGAAAAAGGAGTGAAAAGACAGGCTGCGGTGCACAAGGTGCTCAAATTTTAATTACAATTAAGGGGGGTGGCATGAACAGCCCGCAACATTCTTCTTAGAAGGCAAAATATCTGTGTGACCACTGCATAAGGGTTTGGGGTTTTTTAAATTTTATTTACATATATCAGGGAAAAAAAAGCTATATCTGATGAGAGCAACATTCTGCAAGGGTATGGATGTTTAAATATATGTATATGATCATTAAGTTTTTAAAAAGTTATAAAAAGCTCTTCTGCACCATTTAAAAAATATTTTCAATACTTCACAAAACACATTTCTTTAAACTTAATCATATTGACAGTGCCCGTTCTGGGACATCACACTCACATGACAATATTTTTAAATGAGAAAAGATTATTTCACACAATTTTAACAGAAACTCCTATCTCCTTTCTGTGATATGTATAAGTTTGGTCTGTAAAAACATTTTCAGGACTGTGAAAGCTTCCAGGAATGTTAAATTTTATACACAACTACTGAGAAATGAAAACAACATTCCAGAAGCGAATGGCAAAAGTACTTACGTTTCAAAACAGCGATCCACGTTGTCTGACATGAGAAGCAGCATGCAGAGCTGTTCCAGGGCTATTAACTGCATGTCCCTTTCATCTCCCTGCCCCATCTGCAGCCATTCCAGCAATGTGTCTGGGTCCACATCTGCCATGGTTTTAAAAAAAGCTGCCTCTGCTTAAATTAAAAGTACCAAAAATATCCTTTAATTGTTCAAGCCAGACTAACTCGAGTACAATCAATGTCTCTCTCCAGCCAGTCTCAAGCTCTCGCAGTTTTCACCTAGAAAGAAAAAACATATATATTTATCAAAACCTAGCCTAAACTTCTTAGTTTGCTCTCCTCTGAAATTTGGTCCAAAAATATGCAGTAAAATTAAAGAAACTTCTATGTGTTTGAGATGAATTTAAAAAAAAAACAAACTCATTTAACTTTACAAATAAGTAAACAGTAATTTCTTTCCTATTTGATTAGAAAGAAATCTCTAGTTCCAGCTGACAATTAAGCAAGTCCTCTACTATATATAAGATAACTTAATAATTTAAAGTACTAATTAAAACTTTTAGTAGGAAAACTACGCTTAAGCAATTTTTATATCTTAAAGCAAATACAAAGACAAATAGTATTTACTATGACTTCYCTCCTCCCTGATCTTTTTTAGGATCATCTAATGATAGTATCTCAATGTCCTAAAGATTCATTTTTAATTAAAAAACACAAATCATCAGCAATATACACTGAGACGTTACAACTATAGGCTCATCAGAGAATCTTTGCAGAAATTTTAGAAATTCTTCATCTTTCAAAATATCATGCAAGAAAAATAAGCATTTTAAGACAAAAAAGAAAAAATAAGAACCATTTCCATTTTGAATTTGTTTTTTAAAAAATAACTAATTGATGGCCTTTAAAAAATACAGTGAATAATTCACGTAACTCATGTACATATAAGGAAAACAACATTATTTGTTGGCCCCGTGCCACAGTTCTACATGCAAACTGAATACCAAAAAAGTCCCTTTAAAACGTCAGAACATATTTTTGACCTCTGTGCTGATTTGCTACTTCGTGTTTCACTAACATATACTCAAGTTCTCCTCACCTGCCAAACAGCAGAGCAATCACAACTCATTAAAAAAARGAAAGACTAAAGCAAGTTTACAAACCAACCCTTCCAAATTAAAYACACAAGAGAAAAAAA